GCAAAGGGCAGACCAACGAGTTTCTGAAGTATAAATCAAGAGGCAGCGCCCAGCCATTGATTGATTCCTGCGTGAGCCATGCGGAAGCGCTGCCACAGCGACTTGTGCAAGGAGGTCTGCAGATGAGCCCGGAGGACGCAGTGGGCTAGAGAGAGGGAGTTAGCATAGCGATAGGGTAGATGCAGCGACAGCTGCCATAGCTGTAGTTAGTAGTAAGTGTGTGTGTGTAAGAGTGTTAGAGTGATGCGTATGGGATATCCAGGGTGATCCAGTGTATGTGAACAGTGAGATGTTTGGGCGCTGAAGTCGCCATAGCCAATTGAGAGTGAACTCGTATCTGAAAGCCATATCTCTGAGTTTTGAGTGGGCGCATGTCGCCAGTATGCTGCGTTGCTGTTTACATGCATGAAAAGTGTGTTTGAAAACGAGTCTGATTGCATCTTGCTTAATGTGAATTTTATAATATGAGCTGCGCTATCTGGTTCCTATCTCATCTCGACTTTGGCTTTGTGTGAAGCTATCCTATCTGTGTGAAGACATGTATGCATGCGAAGTGATGCACTCCAGCAAGCTGTGAACAGTCAGGTTCCTTGCACTATCTACACACATGTCACTGATGTCAGTTAAATATGAGATTGGAGAAGAGCACAGGAGTATAAATAACTTACCTCCTGGAACAATCACCCAATCGGGGACATCCCAATTGAACTGTTGGCAGATCTCGATGGCAGCTGTCTTCTGACCTTCCAGCCGCAGGCTGTTCAGAGAGTTTGCCAGGTAGATTGGCAGCTCTGCAGTCACTTCACGAATAAGTCGCATGCAGCCATCAAAATCTGTGTCAATGCTCAACACAAGTGCACCATTTGCAATCGGTTGAACCAGCTGCGCGATAGAGATCCTGTACCAGGTTCACAAGACACAAGTGGCAAAAAAAAGGTTTTGCCAGCCGGAGGAAAAAGAAAGAAAACAGAGAAAAAGAAACAAAAAGTCAGCCAGAAGAGATGAAAGCAACAAAAAAAGACACAGGAAGAAAACAAAGAATGCCAATATATACTAGTTGTTCTGCATTCCCAGTGCAAAAGAAAGGTGTGACTGTGCGGTTCTGAAGATTTGCTAAGCTCCTCCTCTCTCCTTTTACCTACCTGCTTGCCTGCCTGAATGGTCCACACACATGTAACTCAGTACCAACAACTACAAATCAGCAACAGATCGAGGCCATACTCACACTACAACTTTCCTGAATGTATCTGACTGCTTTTATGGCCAGTGCTGGATGTATCTGACCGTAATTACATCAAGAGATCAGTTGAGTAAGTCCTCCTGAGAGTATGGCCTTAAAAAAAGAGCCTTGTTGTGGATACAACAACCATCCAGGCTACTTTCCCTCGTTCCCTCCTCCACTCCGCTTCTTCTTCTTCTCTCCTCCTCATTTCATCTTCTTTTCTCTCCTCCTCATTTCATCTTCTTTTCTCTCCTCCTCCTCCTCCTCCTCCTCCTCCATCAGCGTTTTTTTTTTTTTTTTTTCCCTCGTCATCGCCCGACACAACCGGCACCTCCTCCTCCTCCTCCTCCGGTCTTCTTCACCTCCTCTCCTCCGCTTCCTCCTCATTTCGTCTTCTCTTCTCTCCTCCTCCTCTCGTCTTCTTCTTCTTCTCTCCTCCTCTCGTCTTCTTCTTCTTCACTCCTCTTGCTCCTCATTTCTTCTTCTTCTCTTTTCCCTTCCTCCTCCTCCTCCTCCTCTCACCATCTTCTTCTCCTCTCCTCTTCCTCCTCGTCTTCTTCTCTTCTCTCCTCCTCCCCCCCTCCTCCTCCTTTCGTCTTCTTCTTCTTCGCTCCTCTTCCTCATCGCCCTCATTTTGTCTTCTTTTTTTCTCTCCTCCTCCTCCTCCTCTCTTCTTCTTCTCTCCTGCTCATTTCGTCTTCTTCTTTTCTCTCTTCCTCCTCTCGTCTTCTTCTTCTCTCCTCCTCCTCTTCCTCATTTCGTCTTCTTGTTTTCCCTCCTCCTCCATCAGCTTTTTTTTCCCCCTCGTCATCGCCAGACAATCGGCAGCTCCTCTCGTCTTTTTCTTTTCCTCTCCTCCTCCTCCACCTCCTCCTCTTGTCGTCTTCTTCTTCACTCCTCTTCTTCATCCTCCTCATTTCGCCTTCTTTTTCTTCTCTCCTCCTCCTCCTCCACCTCTAGTCTTCTTCTTCTTCTCTCCTCCTCCTCATTTCGTCTTCTTGTTTTCCCCCCTACTCCTCCATCGGCCTTTTTTTTTTTTTCCTCGTCATCGTCAGACAATCGACAGCTCCTCCTCCTCCTCCTTTTTTTCCGCCTCCTCTTCCTCCTCTTCCTCCTCCTCTTCCTCCTCATTTCGTCTTTTTCTCTTCTCCTCTTCTCTTCTCTCCTCCTCCTCCTCCTCCTCCTCCTCCTCCTCCTCCAGCTGCCTTTTTTTTTCCTCGTCATCGCCATACAGAACTGGCAGCTCCTCCCCCTCCTCCTCTTCCTCCTTGTTCTTCTCTCCTCCTCGTCCGCCTCCTACTCTCGTCGTTGTTTTTTGAAGCCTGCTTCTTCTTTCTCCTCCTTTCCTCCTCCTTCCTCCCCTCCTCCTCCTCTCGCCTTCTTCTTCTACTTCCTCCTCATCGTCCTCCTCCACCATATCCTACTGCCCGCCATCTCCCATTCCTCTTTTTTTTTTTTTCTGCTCGAACAATAGAAGGAAGCGGGCAGACTGCAGTTCTTCTTCTCTTCTCTCCTCCTCCTCCTCCTCCTCCTCCTCCTCCTCTCTTCTTCTCTCCTCCTCCACCACCTACTTTCGTCTTCTCCTTCTCTCCTCCTCGTCCTCCTCCATCGTCCTCTTATCATTATTTTCTTTTTCCATCATCCCCATACACTACCTGCAGGTCCTCCTCCTCGTCTAACCCCTCCTCTCAGCGAACTGGCTGCTGCAACACACCCTTTTACGGTTTTACCCCTTCACAACCCCCCCCCTCCCCACACACCCTTCCCCCAACACACATGCCTTTCACAAGTTTCTCTGCGGATTTGGGCTCCTCTCAGCGAGCGCAGTCCAACCCCATCTTCAAAAAAAAAAAATAAAAAAAAATCCTAGGACGTTTTTTGGCTCGTCTGGTTTTGCCGGACGGACCCTCCCCCGTCCGTCAGGCCCGGTCCGTCTGGACCGTGCATTGGCCTAACCCAGTCCTACAAGGAATTTGTTTGAAGCCTGGCAAGAGGCATTCCTAGAAGAGTCTGTGCTAACTTTTCTAGCAAGTTTTGGAGCGAACTATTTAATATGGGGTGTTTCTTTGGGATAATGACATGGCTCGTCAACTTCACAATGTCTGGACAGTGCACTTGCAAATTTCCTTGGGTGTGTTCTGTTGGCAGAAGTCTGAAAACCAGGCATGCAGTGTGTGTTGGAAGCAAAGCTGACACTTTTGATTCATGCCTCTCATGTTTATGCTTACATAGGTTAAAATGGCCTATCTGGAAATGGGTTTCTTGTTGACAGCAACTTAGGTGTTTGTGAACTTAACTTGAAAGGTTACACCGTAGTCATTCGAGATATCCATTAAAATTTGAATGATACACAGAAGATTAGCATGGCCCCTGCACAGGGAGGACACACATCTTCCAGAAATGCTCCACATTGTTTTCCATCAAAAGAAACAAGTGGACACACATCTTCCAGAAATGCTCCACATTGCTTTCCATTAAAAGCAGCACCAGGGTCCTGGAGGAGGCAGAGAACGATGGAAATGCAAGAAGGGGAAGTGGGAGGAGTTCAGGACATTAGGCAGAGGGGGATATTGGGAGAGGATGTAGAGAGATTGGAGAGGGCGGCGGGATAATGAAAGATTGGAGGAAGGGCGGAGTGGGGAAGGGGAGGAGAGGGGGGGGGGTCAATCTGAACACGTGGGAGATGCGGGGAAGAGGAAATTGAACAGTGACATTTTTTCAGTTCACTCCTGATCCAGTCTTTCAGGTTCATAAGACGATCGAATGGCCCACAAAACTTGGCATAAGCTGCTTGTCTGGGCCTCTCTCTCTCTCTCTCTCTCTCTCTCTCTCTCTCTGTGTGTGTGTGTGTGTGTGTGTGTGTGTGTGTGTGTGTGTGTGTGTGTGTGTGTGTGTNTGTGTGTGTGTGTGTGTGTGTGTGTGTGTGTGTGTGTGTGTGTGTGTGTGTGTGTGTGTGTGTGTGTGTGTGTGTGTGTGTGTGAAATTGATCTCCTCCCTCCTCCTTCTCCTCAAAGTTGTGGTTAATGTGGCCATGCCCATGCTGTTTGTCTGCCTCCCTTGTGTACAACGTGTTAAAAAAAAAACTACCACTCATCCCACCTATACCATCCCCACATACCACCCATCCCGACCCATCCCAACCCTCCATCCACCTTCTATGCACCCATCCCGCCCCTCCATCCAGCCATCCGGACACAGACCATCATGCATGCTGACCATCCACACACTTATTTTAACCCTCCATGCATCCAACCGGCCTGCAACCCATCCCCATAGACCATCTGCCTATCCAGGCCGTCCATCCACCAGTCCACTCCCCCCACGCGAATAAGAAGGGGTAGACAAAAGGGTCCGAGTCGAGAACGACGATAGATGGTGTGATCAATGACATCATCGAATCCGTGCACCTGATTGGCATCAAGACGGGAAAATGACAATGATTGGTAGATGGTGTGATCAATGACACCATCGAATCCATACCTGATTGGCATCCGATGGGCAAATGAAAATGATTGATGACAATGATTGATGCTGTGATCAATGATGCTGTGATCAATCATTGCCATCAATGGTTCCTCTCATCTCCATGCCCGCCTCAGGTTTGTTTCCCTGCTCTTAGTCTCCTACCGTTTTCTTCATCCGGATCTCCTTTCTCGTGCATTGCATCTTCCTTTTTGTTTGGCTATGGGGCTTGCCACACAGCCTTTCGAAACGTGCAAAATGGATGCCGCATCTTTGCCACAGGCTTTCGAAACAAGTCCTTTCGAAAAGCTTCCGAAAGGTGACAGAGATGTGGGCAATGGGCATAGAAAGTACTTTCGAAAGGGCAAGATCCTCCCGGCTGTCACAAGTGTTTCTTCAAAAGGCCGTGAGTGGTCTAGTGGCTCCCGAAACGCCCGATTTGCGGGACACAAAAAAAAGGGGCGATTACAAGGGCCTGGCTCCACTACTCTCGACATGCACAAAAGACAAAAATCGTGGTGGTGTATCTTTCCATGTTCAAGGGGAAGATTCACACCCTCGTTTTGCACATGGCGAGAGTAGTGTAGCGAGGCCCTAATGTGCATATCGAACACAAATGGTTAACAGGTACGCCCACTTTTCACCCCTAGGGTAACCTTCACATCCATGAAAAGTGCAGTGGGGATCATGTTTTTTTGTTTTTTTTGTTGTTTTTCTTTGGCATGTCTTGTTTTTGGTCAAAGCATGTATGTGCCAAGTTTGGTGTTTGTTGGGTTCCTGGAGATGCTTGTTTTGGGCAGCGGTGAAAATTGTGAAAATCGGTAAATTGAAATGTTGGTAAAATTTCATGAAAGTGCACTTCTGCCTTGCTGTTTTATATGTTTTTAATTTTATTTTTTTTGTTTTGTTTTTACAAAAAGTTAGCAAGAAGTGCACTCCACAGATTGGTGTGAAGTATTGTTAAAATGACCCTTTGTTTTTTTTATAAATGGGGGTGAAAAATGGGGGGTCGGTTAACCTTCTGTCACCCCTAGGCCACACTGTTTCGAAAGTCCGTGTGGCGAAGGGGAGTTTTCTTTCGAAAGTGCTCCTGTCGAATTCCGTCTGACGACTTTCAAAAAATGCCTCATTTCGAAAGGCTGTGTGGCGAGCCCCTATATGATGAGTCAGCCGGTGAAACTTCATGCGCCCCTTTCAGCCCATTTTGGAGCCAG